GAAGACAGTCCGGATACTTCAGATGGTGCAAAACAGAGCAGCCAGGTTGCTGACGGGAACTGGATGTTATTCTCATATAACCTCAGTCCTCTACCAGCTTCACTGGCTTTCCATCGAAGTCCCGACTCAATCCAAGGTGCTGGTTATTACCTATAACGCCCTTAATGGCTTGGGACCTGGATACTTGAAACAACGCCTTCTTCCATATTTGCCCTTCTGCCCCCTGAGATCGACAGCAGAGATCCTCCTCTGGGAACCCTCTGTGAAAGGTAGTAGGAGGCAAAGTACCCAGAGGAGGGCTTTCTCTGCGGTGGCGCCCCACCTATTTATTTATTTATTTATTAAAACATTTTTATGCCGCCCCATTCGCCGAAGCCTATGGAATGCATTCCCCAGAGAGGTCCGCCTGGCGCCGTCGTTATTTGTTTTTTGGTGCCAGGTTAAGACTTTTTTATTCCAATAATATTTTAATAACTTTTAATATTGGTTTATATATGTTTTTAACTGTAGCCAGGGTGGATCTGTAATACATTTGTATTATGTTTTATATTATTTTATTTATGTAAGCTGTCCTGAGGCCTTCACAACAGGATGGCATATACATATTCTAAATAAATAAATAAATTTATGTCAATCCTATGCACGAAAGCCCTCCCAAATGTCCTAGCCATGGCAGCCCTGCTCAGCTCTTCCAAATTCAAGGAAGCAGCTTCTTTTATGGAGTCTGTCCATCTCTTGCTTGGCCTTCCTTTTCTTCTTGGCTTCAACTCTTCCTAGCTTGACTGACTTTTCCAGCAAGTCTTGACATGTATAAAGAAGGGCAGTCTCAGTTTTGTCCTTTTACTTCCAAGGAAAGCTCAGGTTCGATTGACTGAAGATCTTGTTTTTTTGTCAACCCAGGGTATTCACAAAACTCTCCTCCAGTACCATGAGTCAATGTAGTGTAGTGGTTCAGAGTGTGAGACTGAAACTAGGATATCCTGGGTTCTAGTCCCTGCTCAGGCAGGGAGTCAGCTGGGTGACTCTGGGCCAGGCACAGCCGCTCAGCACAACCCACCTGCTTCAACCAGTTGTGGAGAGAAGACTGAAAACAGGAGGAGAATGTCAGCCACTTCAGTTTATTAAAATGAAACAGTGGTATATAAACGTTTTGACTGCATTTTTAAGACTTTTAAAATACAGTAAAATCACACTGCAGCTACACTTTACCTTGGCTTTTAGTTCTGTTTCACCCTGTAATTTAAAATGTTATGGTGCATTTTATGTTGTATTGCGTTAATGATTGTGAACTGCCCAGCTATTGGGCATTATAGAATTAGTAAATAAAAAACTCCAACTCGTTTGAAGAACGACACAGAGCCCAAGTTTGCGACGAAAATCTGAATCTCTCTGTTGATGCCGATTGGCCGCTCCCATGCCCAAAATACCACGTCCCCAGTATAAGTCGGGAGCGAAGCACTGAAGCCGGTCGCCCTCCAGTTTATTTCTGCGAATTAGGAAGCCGCTCTGTCCACCGCACATCTCTATGGTGCTTCTGCGCCTGCGCTAACGAAGAGTTATATTCTGATTCTGCAGAGAGCGCCTCTATCATATCCTATTTTGCATACATTTAGGGATGCCGTTACAGAAGCATTCTGGGAGTTGTAGTACTGCGTCGACGTCTTCCCACTCTTCAGAACCAACGCCTGCTCGGTAACGAATCCGTTAGCCGCCTTCTGCCTCGCTCTCGCGTTATCCGTGCATCTCCCGGCATGCCTCGGGGAGGGCAACTTACCTGTTGGCGCGGTTCATTCCGGGAGTTGTAGTTCTTCACTTCTGAGGGTAGAAGAAGAAACATAAGCCCGGCACCAAACCAAGCAGCGGCGGCTTCCTTCTCCCTCGAGGGGTGCCGTGACTCCCGCTGGGGCCGTCATCGCCGCCGGGCTGAGGAGATCGAGACTGAGGAGACGGGCCCGAGGGAGGAGGCAGAATGGCGCGGCAGGGCAGCCGGGGGGGGCGCCGAGAGCAAGAAAATGGTAATGGCGGTCGGCGCTCTGTGTGTGTGTGTGTGTGTGTGTGTGTGTGTGGGGGGGGTTCCGGGGGGGGGGGGGGGGGGGGGTGCTTCCTGATGGGGGGGGGGGGGCACCGGGGGTGGGGCACGACGGCAGCACTGGCCGGGCAGAGCGGTGGCTTTCAACTGAATTAGATATAAGGCTTTTTTGTGCCGGCCTTGCCTAAATTGCCCGGAAAATCTTGGCCATGGGGTGGTATATAAACATTGGGATAGCAACAAGCCCAACCAACTCGCCATGAAATTGGTAAATTCCCTCTAATTCCTTGCCAGGGAGTGCCAACTGTTGATTCATCTACAGAGGTGCATCGTCGTTAATACTTCGTTGCATCTGCTGTATTCGGTTCTGAAGAGGACTAAAATCATTCCTCTTGTTTGGATCCATTTTTCTGCCTAAACGGGCATGCGACTGCACCCTGCGCTGATTTAATTGTTTTTAAGTGCAGAACACAAATATGTGACAGCAACATGTCACCTGTCACGTGTAGCATAAGGATGAGTAGAAATGCCGGAGTGAATGGAGGGAGTACCCTTAGGTGCATAAAAAGCGAGCCGCATCAGTGCTGAGTGAGCCTCCTGTGTGAATTTGGTTCTCTAATTGGAGGGGGCCCTGCTCAGAAGGAAGGTTTCCGAGAGCATCAGCACATAGCCTAAGAGGATGGACTTGTGATAACTTTGTAGATGCTGTTGTGTCCATGGCCTTTTGTGAAGAACAAGAGGGCAAGGCCTGTTCCTATGGTTATTAACAGGTACATCAGCTTTTCCCAGCCTGGTGCCCTCCAGATGGGTTGGACTTTTCCTCTAATGCATGGGGATGATTGGAGTGGATGTCTTGGCACATTTGGAGGCCCTCATGTTGGGCAAGGCTGATCTAGAATGTTGACATCAAGGACACAGTAGAGAAGGAGAAAAGATTTGGGGGCTGAATGAAACAGGAAGAATATGCAGTTGTAGCACTTATGTGTAATTTGGGGTGCGGATTGGTATGGGAACAACGAGAGCATGTTAAACACTTTCAAGGGGCATGCTTTTAATTGGTCGGACAATTTTTTGGTGAGGTTTGCTGTATTCTTCTTTCTCTAAGGGATGTCTGACGGGAAAAACCAGAGAGTGTCCACTGAAGGGGTTCAGTCAAAAGAAATTTTACAGTTTACTCACATATACAGGAAATAAATGCAGTATGTTGGCAGCCTCCAAAGGGACTACAAAGATGGAGTCTGCAAGACAGTTTAATAACTTATCAGTTACATTTACAATTTGGAGGGGAGGGAAATTGAGTAGGCATTTTGCTACAGGCACAGAGTAAAATAGGGTTGAATGGAGTAAGGCAACACAAAAGGAAAAACTTCCAGGACAGCTAGATATTAGCATGTATAAGGTGTTCCCCCAAAGGAAGAATTTTCAGGGTAGGTATATTGGCATATTTAAGGTGTATGTGATCAGATCAGGAATCCCAGCTTAAGTCTAAAGCTGTTTTTATAGTGTCAGGCTTTTAGCAGCCATATTATGACAGAGCTTTCCCTCATTTTGTCCTGACAAGGGCAATGAAGATGTTCCATGTGCAGAGTCTGATGGATTTCTGAATGCCATTGTGGAGTTTCTTGTTAGCATGCCTGGCACTCTTGTTCCTTTCTGGAATCTGAAGTTAGAGTTCAGTTTGATGAAGATGTAGCACTACTTTTCTAGTGGTGACTTTCTAGATAGCGTGAAGCGATTTTCATTCTGGCTAACAAGATGATAGGATTTCTTGGAGACCCACTGTGACTTGTATGCTAAGCATCTGGGCCAGGAAAATAGTTTGTATCTGTAGTGATCTGGATTCTATCCATTTATAAACTGTAGGTGTCTGTGCTGGTAAAAAGCCAGATGAAGATGAATAGGAAGAGTTAGCTAGTGGCAAGAGGGCATATAAACCCCCAAAGCTAAGTCTTATCCTACTATTGTAGGAATGCTCTCCTTTGATGGCTACATTTGGTATTCCTCAAAACACACGTGTCCAAACAGAGAAGTTGACTTCGGGCAGAAATTCAGAATCCCCCACTTTTTTGCTGCATTATTAGAAGTTCTCTGAGGAACTGGAAACATACCTCTTTAATGCGAACACTGATTCTTATCTGATTTGTTTTTGCCCTAGTGTGCTAGTGCTATTAACTGACTCTTAGCAGGAAGCAATCTTCACAGAGATCTTCTTAAGCTATATAGAAGCAGCTTTTCCTTTAGGCTGTGTGCATGCTTGTCAGTGCTTTTGTCACAGTTTGTGTTGTGTGCCTCTGATCTCATATGTGTTATCAGTATAGCAAATAAGAATGTGGAGGAGAACCTAAATTGTGAAAAATGTAAAAAGAGGTGAGGCTACCTTCATTTCTACTTGTTTTGCTCTGTTTTGTCCCCAACCAGGTTTTACCCTGTAAAGATCCACTATATGAAGATACATTGCAGGATCATAGACTTTTAATATTTTCTGCTAGTGTTCTGAATACTTGGTAGCTTACTTAACAAACTTGTCCATTAATGTTAAGGTGCAACACCTATTTTATTGACAAATCTCTTAACTTTAGGTGCCCAACAGTAATGGAAATATTACACTGACTCAAACAGATAATTGATGCATGTATAAACTGCTACTTTGATTATATTTTCCTGTTAGTTCCAGTATTCAACCAGTCTAACAGCTTTACAATTCGTAGGTGGCCAGTTTTTATCAGGTAGTATTCTTGAAAATCTTTTGGAAGACATTTTTGCACATCTGAATCAAAATCCACCTTCTTTTAATTGCACTTCATAACTTTTTGTAACAGTATACTTTAACAATCAGTCCAAAACAGTGACCTTGTATATGCAGAAACTTTATGTATCTCTCCTTGGTACTTAGCATAGGTGAATAACTCAATGAAGCAATTATTTGCTCACCTGTTACCTCCCTGCACCTCTTTGTTTACTTTTCTCCCCTATGCATTTATCAAGTGTATCTTCAGGTATTCACTTTTCAAGCTCTTAATTTGATAAAGCAGATCCATCTGATTTCCAAGCCAAATCTGGGATCGCAGGACAGTTGCCTTTTCTGCCTCTTCAAATAAAGCAAAACCAGATGTGAGATGTGTGCCGTACCTGATTGCTGGCCTTATCAGTTGTGGCTCAGTAGAAATGGCAAGCTGAATCCTACACAGCATCCAACAAATCTTACTTCTGAACGTGACTTGATTCTCTCTTCTGCACTCTGGCTTTGTGTGAGCTTGTGAGAACATGGTATAAACTGTGCTGTTTCATTCAACTCTGATGTTGTCTTTTTTTTTCTCCCTTTCTGCTTGCCTGCTGCTTTCATTCTGTAGTATTGGTATTTGCCATTCATTTCACCTTCTGCATCTATGCATCTCATGGTAGGTGATAGGTTTCTTAATCTGAGACAAGACATTTCTGCTGTATGAAATGAAACCTTAATAAAAGTTTAAGCAGGGCATATTCAGTATATATTGCTGAGAGTTACTGGAGAGACCTTTTAAAATCTTAGGAGGTTTCAGCTTTTAAAAGAGCAAATTTTGTATATCAGCAGTTGCAATAATTGATGGATTACGTTTGGTTAATCCAAATCTATATTTCACTCACTCCAGGTGTGGGCAATGTGACAGAGACACAACAGCTTTTTTCCCCTTCTGTTTGGTTTATGCTACGCACATTTCTACATACATCTTGACACAGAAGGCTTTGCTGATCCTTTGAGCTGTGAAGCAGAATATTATGTTGGAATGAGGAAGCAGTGGGAAAACTGACGATGAGCGGTAGAAAAACTGCTCTTGGAGGTTGTCAAACTCCCATTCTCATCAGTAGTCCTTTCCCTCTCTGGAGCAGGGAATTGGACTTGGCAAAATGCATTGCATGCCCCATACCAATAAAACAAATGGAAGAATTGGATCTGAAGCTTTTGAAGATAGAAGACAGTATTGGTTATTCTTTGGAAAATGTGAGATAAGTGTAAGTTTCAAGTATGTAGGAGAGCCATTACAGCACTGTGTGCAGCCTCTGGGCAGTATAAACAAAATGTCACAGTGCCTTAGCCTGCGTTTGTGTCCGAGCCCCACAAGATCCCACAAGCCCTGGCGTTCTTATCCAGGAATGTTAGAAACTCCTATTGCTTGTGGTGTCAATGCTGCAGTTTGACTACCTGTGATATAAGAGGGTAGCTTCAATTGCCAGAAAGTATGGTACATCACTGATAGAGTTTGTTGGATGTAACAGCTTTTCACTTTGTAGTTGGATATAGGGGTGGCTGCCATTCCTTTTAGCCCTCCCTTAAAATCCAAGTCATAATGTTAGGATTAAAAATATTACAATTTAGAGTTATTCAATAGATAACCAAGAGTTTGTTCCAGCTCTTAGCCAGGGCATATGGACCATAGTATACAGAAAAGTAATTGCAACACCAATGATACTAGGTGCTGGGTAAATTTGGTGTACTGAGCAGTCTGTAGGTAACTTTTCCCAAATCAGGACTGAGACTTTGATGGTATGAGAAAGCAGAAGCTACCAGTCCCTGAACATTGTGTTTTCTCCTCATGTCTGTCAACAAATAACTATGGACAAAATGCTCATATCTATTTCCAGCCCCCACCCTGAGGCAAACATTTTCTTTCTAGTTTGGAGCTGGAGAAACCTGCAGAATCCATTGCACACTTGTTTCTATGAAGCAAAAGCTTTCTTACCCAATTTATTTCCCAATTGTGCCATGCCATGCCAAGCCAAATTAGTCCTGGAGACAGTTCTGACAAGCATGTGGACTTTCCTGTCTGGCCTTTGCTAAACATGTTCTGAATTTGTCTAGAGCTCGGAGCTCTTCACTCTGACCTATGGAGCTCTGGTCACTCAGCTGTGTAAAGACTACGAGAATGATGAAGATGTCAACAAGCAACTAGACAAAATGTAAGTAAATGCGGGGGGGGGGGCACTTTTCCAAATGTCACTGGCTAGGGTTGCTGCAGGCTCCTGTTCTGTGAAGTACCTTCTTGGCAGAGTGAATCATATTTTTGTAAATTAACTGGAGTTGTCAAACAAGGGGAGAGACAGAATAGATTTCCTCCTCTTTACTTCCAAACCCTGTGATGATTCCCTTGATCTAGCCCTCTTCTATGCTGTCTGAGTTTTTAGCATGCTGCTGTTTGGCTGCCTTGACAGGGGCTACAACATAGGCGTTCGACTCGTTGAGGACTTCCTGGCCCGGTCCAATGTAGGGCGATGTCATGACTTCCGAGAAACTGCCGATGTAATTGCAAAGGTGAAACCTTATTTTGCTTATTTTCTTGAGTTTCCAGAATGTGTTCTGTGATTATGATAATTATTGGTAATGATGTATTCATTCTGGATATATGAATATCAAAGATACAGTTTTGTTGTGCATTTCCTTGGGGCATTAGAGCAAACCTTGTTGCAATGAATGCAGTGCAATCCAGATACATGCACAGTGTAGCAAAATCATGTTCAGCATTTCTTTATTGTCAGTTTACTGCAGTGAGGGCATGGAGGGCTAATCACAAAGAAGTGTTTGTGTGTGCTATTCATTCTGCTCGCTCGCTCTCTCTCTCTCTCTCTCTCTCTCTGGTTGTTATCTGTCTCTCCTGTGCTTTCCTTTCCTTCTTCCATCCATCTCTTCTTGTATCCATCCACCTCTGATTTTTTTGTTTGTTTCTGATTTCTTCTCTCTGTGTCTCCCTCTCCCTCTCTGACTTCTCCTTCCCTTCCCTCCCCTTCCCTCCCCCCCCCGCTCTGTCCTTTTTCTTACCTCACCTCAGTTTGCGTGCACTCTCTGTGGCCCCTCTTTCTCTGGCTCTTCCCTCCCTCCACATCCCCATGCAAGGAGATGGAGCAATTTCTCCATTCATTTGCAGAGAGGGAAAATAGCTCAGCGGGTGCCTCAGCCTGGTGTTGTGTGCACCATCTTAGATACACCCCATTTTTTAAAAGCTTTTTCTGTGAGACTGCTGATGACACACATTAAAGAGGTTTCCTTATTTTTTCCCTAAAGAGAGATGCTGGTTGCAGTTGACACATCAAACCACAGAGCTGTTTTTGGAATAGATTTTACAGAATGACAAGGAAGCACTAGAGAGGCTGTTGTTTCATATGTCCTACTGCTGGTCCTGAAAACTCCCAGGTGCTGTCAGGAAAGCCCTGGAACCCAAGGGGAACCAAAATGCCATTTTGTCCTTGAGTTCTGTTGGTCTGACTTGTACAATGGTTAGCATCTGTATCAGCAGTGAAAGGAAAAAGATCATGAGCTGGGATGCCCCCTCTGTCCAGAACACTGCAACGGATAAGTGGCAGGTGTGAGGAACCTGAATGCATTACCCACTGCAGCCCAGGGGGCAGGGCAGGGCAGCGCTCTGGAGGCAGAGGCAAAATTCATGTCAAAGTCAACTATGGACTTTTGTGGCTTAGTCTGTATATACCAGAAAGACTTGCTTACTGTAGTATCAATAGAAATGTAAATTCATTTTCTGTTCTATTAGTATCAGAAAGTGAACTAACGTTAAACTAGATACCGAGAAGCAGGATAACTAAAGGTGTTTTCTGTAATAGTAACCAATGCAAGCAGAATTGCCTCTGTCCTATCTCACAGTATAAGGCAACAGACACAAGTGGTACCGTATGGTTTTCTAGGAAGGAGGACACTGCATCTGGTGTATGGAATGGCAGGGATCCATTCTTCTTGGGATCAGTCTTTCATTGTCTGTTGTATACAAAGGAGTTTGCTTAAGCATGTTACATCAAAGAATTGCTGCTGGATTCTTTTCAGATTTTGGCCAGATACTCAGTGATCCATAAAAGACAGCCTGCTAAACAGTGCACTGTTTAAGCCTGCCCCTATTTTATGTTTCTCTCGCCTGGCAGGTGGCATTTAAAATGTACTTGGGTATCACACCGAGCATCACAAACTGGAGTCCAGCAGGAGATGAATTCTCCCTCATCCTGGAAAACAACCCTCTGGTAGATTTTGTGGAGCTGCCTGACAACCATTCATCTCTTATTTACTCTAACCTCTTGTGTGGGGTGCTTCGGGGAGCCCTGGAAATGGTGAGGAAAAAGGGCGCCTGTTGAGCCAACAATTATGCATGGCTTCCTTGTGTTGAAATGTATTAAATTGCATGACGTATCAGGTTATATATCTGTTCTCTATCCAGTTAAATGTACAGAACCACTGTTTAGGGACTAGATTATCAGCAGTGTCTGATAGCCATGGGCAGTAACTGTATGAGAAGGAATAGTGGACTGTTCTGGACCCACACATATGCTGCCTTCCCCAGTGCTCTCATTCTCATCATTGCTGAGAAAACATTTTCCACATATGTTCAGGCTCTGTCTTGCAGCAGTTGCTGCTTAATCAGCTTCTTCATTTTAATGAAAACTTTGAATCCCAATAATCAGACTACTATATACTGAAAGCCAGCATGGTGTAATGGCTGGAGTAGCAGACTAGAATTGGGAACACCCAAATTCACATCCCTGCTCAGCCGCAGAGCTGACTGTGGATGAACTTCAGTCCATCACCTTTCTCGACCTAACCTACCTCACTGTGGTGTTGTGTAAGGAAATCATGGCAGGCAATAGCCCTGTACACTTAAGCTCCTTTTAGGAAAGATGAAATACAAATGCAATTTTATTTATGTTATTTATGTCATTTATGTTATATTTGACATTGTAAGCCGTCCTGAGGCTTTTTTGCGAATAGGACGGCATATAAATATTTTAAATAAATAAATTAACACGTGATCATGTTTGCCAAGAAATGACAGATAGGTAAGACAGCTGTGGCCTTTGGTGAGCAAACTCAGAGTTTCATGAATTAAATTCATGGAATCACTTGTGTGCTTAGTTCCCTTGCCTGGAATCAGCAGGGGCAGTGTAGATGGACATTGCTGTCTGTAGTGCTCAGTTCTGAGGCTCTGCATCTGCTTTGCCAACTTTCTTAGCTGAAAATAAAGCATTATGCTGACCTGCTTAACCAGGGATTGTGAGAATCCTGGTCCTGTATTAGAGACTTGTTTGCTACGTAGCCTTTACATTTCAGGTGAGGTTGATGAAGTGAAAAGGGAAATAATGTTGATCCTTCAATGGAAAAGTTCAATTGGGGTCTCTCCTTTTCTATCTTTGCCATAGCATTCAAAGGAACTAGACAGTTCTAGGTTTGTCTTAAATGTATGGGCTTGTGTCTCCCATATCACAGGTTCAGATGGCTGTGGATGTCAAATTTGTCCAGGACACACTGAAAGGGGACGGAGCCACAGAAATAAGGATGAAATTTATCAGAAGGATTGAGGACAATCTCCCCGTTGGAGAGGAGTGAGTCCCAGAGCAGTCCAGATACTGAACTAGAGGGGATGAGTCAACTCCACCCAGGATTCGTCCACATATCGTGACTTCTATACATTCAGATGCTCTGACTGGTTAAGATGGTGGCCTGCTTTATTTCCTTAGGAAGCAACTGTTTGAATTCTCCTGTGTTATTTCCACAAATTTGTATTAAAGGCCTTTGTAGGGTGTAGGACACTTTTCATATTCATCAGAGACACAAACACCCGTTTCTAGTTTCCATGTTTGGCTCCAGGCAAATATATAGAGTATTGAAACTGTGTAATTTTGAAACTTGGTACCAGAATGAGATCTCAGCCACAGCTGCCATTCTTGTCTTGGGCATATGAAGAGCATCAACCCTGCCCCCTCCCTTCCTGTTCACAGGGACAGGGACCAAAATTCATATTCATCTGTCAGAAACAGGTAGTGTTCTGGATTGCACAGATTCTTAATGGAACCAGGTCCGTCTGGCTTTTTCAGTTTTGTTGTCGAAATGTTATATAACTGAGTAAAAATAAGAACATCTGTTAATTCCATTGCAAAACAAGAGCCCCGCCTACTTAGATAGTCTTGGTGGTGGCCTTGGTTTGAATAATCTCCTTGAGTAGGCATGTCCCAATGTCAGGCTATAGTGCTTGTTGAAAAAGAGGGAGAATTACTGTCACAGTTCATTCCAGTCCATTGGGTAGCTTGAAGGAGACTTGACAGTAGTCCCTTGTTTGAGCCAAGCTGAATAGAATCCCAGTCGTCTGGATGCTTTCAGCATCCCTTTGCCATCCTCTTTATATGGCTGGGCAAGAACTCAACACACTGTGAGTAAGCCGTGTTCAAGGTTTCACTATTGAAATAGTGTCAGAAAAAGCTTCCAAGCCATCGTCATTTGAACGTTCCTTCCTAGCAGTGACCTATTGATGCAAGTTTTCTTTCTGTTAAGAGGATACAGTCAGTAGTGGAAGATCTCACTTTGGGTGTGCTCCACCTTCCCTTCAGGAGGCAAGTGTACTCAGAATTCTGTAAAAGAAAGAAAAAAAAGAGGTTATAACAGACTGTCTTGCAAGGCTAGATCAGTGTGCTAAGGTTTATATCCTGGATCACTGAAAGGATATAACAGAATGCTCTAGGGTTTTAAAAATAAGGACCCATGAATGGCAGAATCACTCAGGAATTAAGTATGCAGCCCAAGTTTCATGCCACTGGTTGTGCTGAGGAGAGTTCCCATCTGCATGCATCACAAGGCTCTAAAGTTCCCATCAGACAATATAGTTAGTACTGCAGAAGACTTGTTTAGCTTGAGTATCCTACAGAAAACTCCAGAGTTAAAACCAGAAATTTCCATCTTCTTTGAAGAGGCATGGTATGCTCATTTGTAATACCTGTCCAGTTGCAACAAGAGAATGTGTCTGATGCTTTCTGACAGTGCTCTGCAGAGTGAAGAATGGTGCTTCAGCTGCTGCTTCTCCTGAATAGTGGAGCCTTTTTTCAATGGTGTATTAATGACATTCTTCTAGTCCTTTTCTATGGTTCTTTCCAACAGGACATAGGAATCTGAGGGATTAAAGGAAATGCCCTGGCTCAACTTCCACCAGATACTCGTATGTAGGATATGTTGCAGGGAAGGTAGAAAAACTACTGGTTCCCTGCATTGTGGTTCCCTGCCCACCTTATGTTAAAATCACAACTTTTCTTCATTCTTCCAGCAGCCCCCAAAAGCATTTTTACATTGTTCTTTCTGTGCTACTTTTGAACCTTGTTGAAAAACAGTTGCACTGATCAATAGCTGATGGGCAAACAGGTGTATATAATTTAAATATTTTTGTCCTATAAGGGGTCATTCCTGTATTTTTCACGTGTAAAGCTTTTGAAGGCAACATTTTAAACTCTTACATTAAAGAAGCTGTAACTGTCTTCTTAGTGGTTCTGCCATTGTGTTGTGGAGCACAGCAGGGGACTCATTTATTGTATTCCATGCTTATCCCCCCCAAAGTTGCTCTTTACCTTGCCCGCTCTCATGTTTTCACCTCATGCCAACTCTGTGAGGTGTGTGAGGCCAAAAGACAGTGGTGAGCCCAAAATCAGGCCATGGGCTGTGTGGCTGAGGAGCATGAACCTGTGTCTCACAAGCCCTGTGCTGGCATTCTGACTACCACACCACACCGACTCTTCTCGGGTGGCATTTAGGTGGGAGATGGGGGATACCCTCAGAATGTTTTCATGCTTGCATTCCTCCTAGTTGCAGAGAAAGCAGAATACACTTTTGATGCTCTATGCTGTGCAGCAGAGCAAAGCAGCCACAGAGGTGGCGTTGACTTGGCTTCTGGATACCATCACAGGGAACGTGATGCAGAATGTTGTAGGGCTTGCCAGTGATAAAGAGGAAGGGCTGTAGTTCAGGGCTAGTGCACACTCTTTGCATGTGGAAGGTCCCGGATTCAATCTCCTGTATGTTGAAATATGTCTGGGAAAGACCCCTGTCTGAAATCTCAGAGAATCACTCAGTTTAGACAATATTAAGAAGGATGGATTACAGGTCTGACTTGGCATAAGGGATCTTCTTAGGTTGTAACAGAGAGTAATTGCTAGCATAGGAGATGACTTCTGGTTTACACCTTAAGTTTTCATTGGTAATCCAAGTAGTTAATGATCTTGTATTCTAATCTCAGGTTAACTGATAGCTTGTTGCATAAGTGTGCCTGGTTGTTTCTCAGCTGTCAGCCTATGATCATAAATTTGGATCTCCCAAGGCCTGGCCAGGTGGTCTACAACATTTTGCTGCCTCCACAGTTTGGATAACAGCAGGAAGTAGCACCACGAGGTAACAAACATAACTTGCCCAAAGAATTTGCTTCTGCTGCGCTTTAGGAGAAGCCCCTGTTTCTTTAACTGACCACTAGATGTCTCCATTTATTTAGAGTGATGCGCATGGAGCATTTGCCTCAAAGGTGAATGGCTTTGGATACTTGCATAAGGGTAGTTTTGTGGTAAATTCCTCCTTATGGAAACATTTTTGGGTGAATAGTTTCCATTAAAAAAAGATATCAAGGTCATACAAGATTGTTCTGGCGTTACACAACCAGAGTTTTAGGCAGGTTAATTCCCTCCATGCTGCATTCTGAAAAAGGAAATGGACAGAGCCCAGCTGAGAAATGTTTCTATGAGTAAAAGGTTCAGAATAGGGATATCTGGATTTCTGTTTTCTTGCTTTCTCTCTGCTTTGAATTCCAACATGGGATGGCAGAAGCTTAAAATCAGTTTGTATGGTCAGAGAATGCTTTGATTGCCTTCCTGACTACCTGTGCCGGTTCCATGGGCAGACAGCTAAGCCTGGGGAATGCAGACTTGCCCAGGACTAGGCAATGAATGTGTGGAAGAGGTAAGGCCTTTTGCATCAGAGGCCTGACTTTCTGTTCCTCTGGCGCACGTGGGGTTGGTTGACACTTCACCTGGACTTGCAGTTCTTCAAAGCTGCCCATGGAAAGTATGAATGGGAGATGGCCCCCAAGCACTGTAGTTCCGCTGTTAAGGGTTGGGTCCACTGCATTTTGAAAACGTGTTTTACCATGGCAGCTGGATTGTTGCGTGACATGGCTTTCTCTCTGTCTTCCTGGCAACAAAATGTCATCCATGGCTTTTCTGTTGGCTTTCCAATGCACAAGTTTGGGAAGCACTGGAAAATCGGTGGTGTTTCTGCTGCAGGGCAATGCGCAGTGAGCATTTCAGGCAGTGGATTGTAGATGCCTTCAAAAGAGGCAGAGCTGGAAGGAGGCAAAATTGACCCATGGAACAGAGTCCTCTGTATAGTCTATTTGTTTGGCATCTACTGAAGCGATGGGAGCTGCTGAAGAGAATGGTAGAAGCTCCACTCATTTTGGGAAAGCTTTCAACAAAAGGAGTTCAACAAGAGGGATTATACCTGAAGCTAGTTGTGTGGAAGAGGAGGAATGTCTTTCGGATTTTCTACCCCAAGAACACACAGTGTTAGAGGACTTCAGAACCCTTTAAGAACTGAAGTCATTTCAAAAGAGATGCTGAGCTGGCTGGTTGAGGCTGACTTTAGAAGGCCATCTTGTTGCTTTTTGTCTGATCTGTTTGCGTAACACAGTTTTACAAAAGCCAGATTTGACAGTGCAATGGAATTTACCCCTTCCTTAGCCAATTAATACAAAACAAAAATTGGGTGTGTTTTTAATTTGGATTATTCGTTTTCTGGCTTGAACTTCCAGCTGTTGATTTTTGTTTGGCTAGATCAACAAGACCCTTTAGTGCAGTTACAGGTTTTTTTCAGATCTAGGAATTTCATTTTTGGCTTTGTGGATTTAAACAAGCAGATATGACCTCTGTTAGTCCTCCAGTACCCCAGACAACTTGTTTTTTTCAGTCAGATCTCTCTCACACATCATACTGTTGAATGTTGCTTCATGGCTTATAGTGTGACCCACTCTTATGGTAACCACAATATTGTTCTAACTATGCAATGTGAAGAGACAACATTTTTCTCTAGACTTGTAGATCAAAACACCACTTCTGGCTGGTGGCTAATGGCCACCAAAAGAATCCCATCTGTTTGAGCTGGACAAAATCGGTTTGGAAGTAACAGCATAGACGGATAGCTGAATATTGCAACTTACTTGGCAAGGGGCATGGTTGTAAGGACAAACTATTTGCTTTTGCAGAAGTGATGCCACTTTAATTATGAGCCTTGCCCCTCTGGGTGCCTGCTTCCCTGTGCTCTGCTTCTATATTTGTAAATGAATAGGTCACTGAAACACGTCTCTTGTACCCTCTGCATTGGGAAATGGATCCTGTCAAGACTGCTTCTAGAATTTCCTACCACTTAGATGCCAAGAGCATCAAACTGTATGATGTGCCCTTTTGTTTTTTAACTATGTGGGATAGATTCTGAGCCAAACACCAAATGCAGGTTCTTTGAAACTTGAAAAAGGCTGCAGAAAAGCCCATGAGACATCTGGGGTAGCGGAGAACCATGTCATCCTCTTGCTAAAAAGACTGGGAAAGTGGAGGACAGGTGCTGAATTGTTTATTTGGGATCAAGGGAGCTTGATAGTAAACTAGTGCTTGGCAAATTCTTTGAAGAGAAACATTCTTGTAAACAAACTCCACCTTTTCAGCTGTACTTTCTCCTCCAAAGCAGAAAATACATGAATATCATAGTAGTAAACACTAAAAAAGTAATATTTTATTTTTACTCTCAATAAAGGTGTGTGCGTGTGCATACATATGCAAATATATTTGCATAGATGTTCAGAATTCCTGGTTGATTTTGGCTTCTGTGTTTTACAATGGGTGGACAGGACTTCCAAAGTAGCGGCTTCTCCCCTCTTCTCTTAGTCTCTGTAACAGTTCCCAAGTGTTAGCTGAAACTGTAATGGGTCAGTGAAGGTCATGTCATGTACTACAGGCCAAGAACTTTGTCTTAAGTGCAAAATGATGGCCAATAGTAGATGTGGAGGAAGAACTGGGTAAGCAGGAGGAGGGAAATGGGATTGCTACTGATTCCCCACCAGCTACATTTTGGATTCCACCACTTCATTCATCCACTTTAAAAATTCAATGTCACAGTGAGAAGGACAAGGACAAGGAAAACATTTTTAGTTTAGTTCTTATCTTTTATGAGCACTGGAATGTATGTGTGTGTGGTGGGGGGGAATATGTACTCTGCAACTTCCTGGCATGAGCGGTGCACTAAACCAGTGCTTGATAAGTGTGCTTATTAAAAATCCACAGCCCAAACCACTGTGACCCAGGCCTTTTGCAAGACATTGCAGTATGTGAGGCAGAAAATGAAAACAGGAGATCTGTCTCCTATAGTCCACTGCTGTGGTGGCCAGGCCCTGCCTCCTGTGATGTCTGCTACCTTTCACCACTTCTTGTGCCTACTGGTCAAAGATCTTCAATCCAGCATCCCACCTGCTCTACTGTTCAGATCCCAGCTCACTGTTAGGACTCATGCTTTGCACGCAGGTTTCTAAGGCCTGATTGCTGTAGCTATGCCCTTAAGCCCCGATCCACACAACACAAACCTTCAGTAATTTTTCACAGGCTAATTCATATGTGTATGTGCAAAAACACCATGATTTATTTAAATTTCACAGAAGGCAAAGCCAACCAATTATTGTGTCTAAATCACCTCAAGGAAGAGTAAATGTTTCCTTTAATTTCCCCTGCACATCAGATCAACCCAAGATGCTCTCTCATTTTCTCTCTCCCTTGCATAATTATGCATAAACGAAAAGCTGTTCAACACGAGTGGAAGATTTATTCCTTAGCTTACTTGCCATGTTGGACAGACTTGGTTTGTTTGGGGTGGGGTGGGGAGCAGCCTATAGGGAATGGCTGGCTAACCTTTTTCTCCCCAGCTGCAGTCCCCTCAGTGTGATGATTAAACATGATTAAACCATCAGCTGGTACTTGAGGGCTCTGGGAAATGTATGCAGGGTTGAGGTCCCATGAGCTCCAAGCTAGCAAAGCCCATATTGCAGGTCCTCTGCCTGAACCTGCCAGTCAGAAGACAATGCCTTGAGTCACATGGGCGATCAGCTGGCTTGCTAAGGGCAGGTGCCTCCAATTCATCTGTAGGAACACACTCTCCAGATCCAGTTCGTGCTGCCTGCTGAAGAATTGTCATCCCCACGGGAAATGCTTCAGCCAGGTAGGCAGAAGTTTGGGCATTCTGTGCTTGCCTACGCTCTGTTTCCTTCTTGAACATGTGGACAGTCGTGTTTCTGGACTGCCAGGTTTTGGCCAGCAGACTTTGGCATGAGTCTCAGGAAAGATGTGATAGAGCAGGGTCAGTCCAAGGCGTTCGGGTGTGTGAGGCAAGGGATAAGTGCGTGTGTCCGCCTGTTACATACGGAAGCGGATGGCCTTGCCGCTGGATCTGACTTCAC